CGCTCCCACCTCAATGTGCTGATTCCAAACTGCAGAAAGGAAGGTCAGGATGGTTCTTGCTACAGTCAACCTGCACCATGGTTGAATGTGCATCCTGGTTGATGCATTTGCTTCCTGCAAATGCACCAGTGTCAACTCCTATTTTCCTTCTCAGTTCTAGGTTCCTTTTTTTTTTTAACTCTTTCTTCTTTAAATGTATGTCGGATATCTACAGGACATATCTAGCAGGCAAAATGGCAGAGGGGTATGAACAATAGATAGGTTTGGGGTTTTTTTTTTTTTTGCTCTGGTAACCAATCTCGATAAAATAGTGAAGAGTAGAGACATCACACTGGCAACGAATATCTGCATAGTTAAAGCAATGGTATTCCCCATAGTCACCTATGGATGTGAGAGCTGGACCATAGGGAAGGCTGAGCAAAGGAAGATAGTTTTTTTTTTTTGTTGTGTCAGGAGTGACTTGAGAAACTGCAAGTCGCTTCTGGTGTGAGAGAAATGGCCCAGGGGACGCCCGGATGATTTGATGTTTTTATCCTTGTGGGAAGCTTCTCTCATGTCCCTGCATGAGGAGCTGGAATTGATAGAGGGAGCTCATCCGCCTCTCCCCGGATTCGAACCTGCGACCTGTCGGTCTTCAGTCTTGCCGGCACAGGGGTTTAACCCACTGCGCCACCGGGAGCTCCTATATAGTTGATGATTGTGGCTGATACCAATGTTAATATGGATGTGGATCATGGGAACTCTGGACCAGTCCATTTCAGGAAATAAAGCCCAACTGCTCATTGGAGGGAAGGATAGTAGAGAAAAGATGAAGTACTTCGGCCACATCATGAGAAGAAAGGAAAGCTTGAGAAGACAATGATGCTGGGGAAAATGGAAGGAAAAACGAAGACCAAGGGCAAGATGGATGGATGGTATCCTTGAAGACTGGATTGACCTTGAAGGAGCTGGGGGAGGTGACGGCTGACAGGGAGTTCTGGCGTGGGCTGGTCCATGAGGTCACAAAGAGTCGGAAACGACTGAACAACAACAAACCTTTTTTCCCTCAACACAAATATGTGGGGGGAAAGGAAAAGAAGAAGAAGCAACCTTCACCATCATCACCACCGTCTCCTCAATCCATCCATCCTCCCATCACATTTATACTGGTGCAATGTAGGGTTTGCATTGTCCAAACCTCAGCCTCGTTGGCTGCGGATATTTCTACTTAAGGATCACACTGATGGATTATTTCTATTGACAAAACCATTGTCCATACTGCTGAATCAAGAGGCACTTATAGACATAGCCATCCATCCCCTCCTCCACTTTTATATGCTGCTTCTATGACAATCTGAATGAGCACACAGGTACTGCACTTAAGTCTACGTAAGAAGCCAACCAGCTATGCAAGCCACATAAAAGTTAACTATGAAGTGACGCATTTCAACCTCTCATGCACATATTATTGAGAGGTGACCCTTTTTGAGAGCTGCATTCCCATGAATGCTTGGAGGAGGAACCCTTTGACAGTAACAGTTCCCTAGTTTCTCTTCCCAAGCATACAATAAAAACCCAAAGGCAAGGAATCACAAATATCTTATTCTTGCTTTTGAGGTGAAAAAGCTTGAGAGCAAACCCTTGGGGTTGTATATTAGTGCTATCAATGCATCTGTGCATAAAAGAAACCAGAGGAAGGACTGGCCCTTTAAATGGAAGAAATGCCCACAGCTTACATGCTGCAGTACACACTGACTGCAGCCATCTATACAAAGAAGCATCTAATGCTCTCGGAGTACAAGAAGGCTTCTTAGTGCTTTTTCTCATTTTCAACAATGCCTTTCGAGGGTGGGGGCAGGGGAGGAAAAAAGCCAAGGAAAGGAGAAGTTGCTACCCGAGCCAAAGACGCACATATGTATTGAAGGAATTGACAACACGTCCTTTAAGGAAACACATGCACCAATGCTCAAAGCCTATTCGATTATGATCCCTTGGGGAATATCACAAAGACACATCGAAATGCAACGTAACCTCATTCCTGCATTCAGAAAGTAGACACTTGAGCTTCTTTTTTCAAAAGGGAAAAAAAAATCAGAGTCCTTGATGATGGAGAAACCATCCTTGGGCCTTTTCTGTTCCTTAAGATGTTCTCTTAAAGGGCAAGGCCACACAGCTCCCAAATAAATCATCTTTATTTGGGATTATCCTCCTCTACTCTTATAATTTGTGCCGGGAATGGCAGGAGCTGATTAATTTCGGTCAAAATTCAGCCAGTGAACCAAAATGGTCCTAAGTCCCTCTGCACCTGGGGTCATTCACCTGACAAAAGGAAGAGGATGACAACAGTTGATTAAGAGATTATTTCCTAATGAAACAGACCTGCTAGTTAAAAGACAAGTGGTGCGACACTTGATTCAATTATGTCTTTTTAAATGGCTAGATTATTTCAATAGGAAACATGTGACAGAGTCCCAGCACAAAGGAAACAGCTATTTTTGCACATATTCATGCCAAATGACTACAGAGCAACTTTCCCATTTTCTAGTGAGATCTAGGCAGATGCAGTTTGTTTAATCTGTAAAATTACCATTTTTAAACTGGTTAGCATTGCACTTAACAACACGCTCACATCCCAAGGCAATGTGATTATCTCCCTGGGAAAACGCATGCACGCTACCGGTGCCTGTCACCGCATCAAGTCTCGGATCTGACTTTAAAGACCCATTTGCCTTTCAAAGACCCCCCCCTCCTCCCCCCACCTCAAGCTGCGGTTCAGTGACATTTCACAGTCTTAACAATTATCCACAGTCACCAAGTTAGACGCGGTACAAGATATATGACATCTCACACTGCAGTGGGGGGAAAGTAAAACAAAGGAATCCATGTAACCGATTTGCAAGTACAAATAAAGGTACCTTTTTCTTCCGATCCTTGGATCTTTTCCTGTGTTTCCTCTTTTTCTCATTTTCTTCTTCGGGGTTAAGTTCTAAATCTCTGTTTTTCTTGAGCTGCGACGCTGCATGGGCCATGCTGCATTAAGGACACCCTTTTCAACAAATCCTTTCTGGTACAGAGAAGGTGATATCCTCAGGCACCTTCAAGCAGCCCTTCCAACCGATGCCTGGCAAAAAGCTTTTGGCCAGAGCCAGGAAGGCATTCAGGATTCAAAGGACTTGATAATGCTGGCAGATGCTACACGATTTCATGCTTGCAGATCTCTTCCTGTACCTTCCCATACCTGAGCCTCGAAAAAGAGTGCAACTATCCCAATGCATTTAGCGTAATGAGAAAGGCAGCTGGGACAGAGAAAGCGGTATTATGGCTGTATCCCCTGCCACCAGCTGGAAATGTCTAAGTGATTCCTCTGAAGGGGGTACGCCGAAGACGAAGCTTCCCTCTTAGAAACACTCCAGAGCAACAACTGCTGCAGCATTGGTCCTTTTCTTCAATAATCCTCAAATCTATTGCTGAAATCCGCCCCCCAAAAGCAACGAGGATGATTTATACTCCCTCACTTGGTTCTGCATGGTAAGCCACTTAACCCACAATGAAATGGAGCAGCTCCTAGTTTAGATTAACTGCTGATGGTGACAATAAATAAATAAATATATAAAAATAATCTCTCTCTCTCTCTTTTTCTCCCTCTCTCATTTTACCATGGAGACCCTGACTGCATTATGTAGAAAACAATGCATGCATTGCTATATCTTAACAGTGTGCCCTTTATGCCGAATGCTCAATCTTGCTGCAAGAATTACAGAAAGCACTGTTGTCTTTAGGGCTTCTTTAAAAAAAAATAAAACACATGCATAATACAAGATATCTCCAGTGAGAGGAAGGGGGGAAGATGTGATCATGCAAGTGTATGAAAAAAGGCATCTACTTCATTGCACATTTTCTGGCAGCCTTCTCTAATGTCAGTAAAATAAGAGAGAGACCCCCATCCAGCAACCAGGAATATGAGCGTGATAAACCAAACCCGGATTTCATGCTCTCAGCAAGGTAGATTTAGCCTTTTATGTCAGAGCTTGCTTCAATCACCTTGCTATTTTTGCCACCTGAGTCCTCAGTGACTGCAGCTTCTGAATATTCATTATGGGAGGCAGAACAGCATCAGTATAAAAGGCCTGCAGGGGCATTTTCAACCAGCAAACTAAGACAATTTGCACACACATTTTCCTCCTCCCTGAAAAAGAATATCCTTGGGCATCTCGAGTTAAAAATATATACTGCAGGTGTTATTGATATGCATGAATATACATGTGTATCTGCACATAAACAGCATACATTTACAGATGCTAGTGTGTTGATTCCATACGGCAGTGCAAAAGGGAGAAACAGCTTGTCTAAAGGGAATAGCAGCCTTTTGGGAGGACTCCTAACAGAGGATCATTCTAAATACATTGCACCGTCCAAGGCACACACTGGAATCTCAGTGACAAAAGGGCCTTGCAGATGTCCCTTGGGGCTACTGGAGGTATTCTCAATGGATGCTGGGGATACACAGAGAATTTTCTGTGCCTTGACATACACATCTTGACTGGAAGAGGGAGTGGATTGCTGACCCAGTTCTTACCCTTCCTTACCCAGCGCAATGCAGGCAAGCTGTGTGCCTTTCTCTGCCTGGTGTTGATTGATGGTGCTGAAGGCCAGTAATGGGAATCCTCAGTTTTTCACAGGCTTTTGGCTTCTCTGGGATCCTCCCAATTACCTTTACAGAACCTTGAAAGTACACTGCAAGCTGACACAGTCTTGTTCTCCCCCCAGCCTTTCTTTTAGTCGTCTTAGGCTCAGGACATGAGCCAGCATGTCCAAGTTAGCCTTCCATGTCATCTTGTGCTGGCTTTGGCCTATAAAGCCCTAAACGGTTCTGGCCCAACTTACCTGTCTGAACGTATCTCCCCTTATGAACCACTGAGGATTTAAAGATCATCTGGGGAGGCCCTGCTCTCGGTCCCACCTTTGTCACAAGCACGTCTGGCGAGGAAGAGAGACAGGGCCTTCTCAGTGGTGGCCCCTCGGCTATGGAATGCCCTCCCTAGGGAGATCAGATCTCGTCCCTCCCTAACAAATTTGTGAACATCCTGCGGCTCCTCCATGATGACATGATGGCAACAGTTTTGGACAGCAGTGGCTCCCAAAGTGACCCATTTAAGGTGGAATCCGGTATCAAACAGGGATGTGTTATTGCCTCTATTCTCCATCTTAGAATCATAGAATCAAAGAGTTGGAAGAGACCTCATGGGCCATCCAGTCCAACCCCTGCCATGAAGCAGGAATAATGCATTCAAATCACCCCTGACAGATGGCCATCCAGCCTCTGTTTAAAAGCTTCCAAAGAAGGAGCCTCCACCACACTCCGGAGCAGAGAGTTCCACTTCATCACTATGATACTTCACCCTGTTGATGGGAAGCTTCCCACCATAGTGGAAATCATCTATTGGACAGATGGCAAGCTATTCAACCTCAGCAGACTGAAAGCCAAAACCAAGGTTACAACAACATGTTATAGAACTCCAGTATGCTGATGACAACGTCGTCTATGCGCATTCAGAAGAAGATCTACAAGCCACTCTAAACACCTTTGCAGAAGCATACGAGAAGCTCGGCCTGTCATTGAACATTGAAAAAACCAAGGTGCTGTTCCAGCAGACACCAGCCAACCCCTCTCCAATGCCAGTGATACAGCTTAATGGTGTAACATTAGAAAATGTTGATCATTTCCGCTACCTTGGCAGCCACCTCTCCACCAAAGTCAACATCGACACCGAAATACAACACCGCCTGAGCTCTGCGAGCGCAGCATTTTTCCGAATGAAGCAGAGAGTGTTTGAGGACCGGGACATCCCTAGGGATACCAAGGTGCTTGTTTATAGAGCTATTGTCCTCCCAACCCTGCTATATGCCTGTGAGACGTGGACTGTCTACAGACGTCACATGCAACTCCTGGAACGATTCCATCAGTGCTGCCTCCGGAAAATCCTGCAAATCTCTTGGGAAGACAGGCGGACAAACGTCAGCGTGCTGGAAGAAGCAAAGACCACCAGCATTGAAGCGATGGTCCTCCGCCATCAACTCCGCTGGACCGGCCACGTTGTCCGGATGCCCGACCACTGTCTCCCAAAGCAGTTGCTCTACTCTGAACTCAAGAAAACGGAATGTTGGTGGGCAGGAAAAGAGATTTAAAGATGGGCTCAAAGCCAACCTTAAAAACTGGCATAGACACTGAGAACTGGGAAGCCCTGGCCCTTGAGCGCTCCTGGAGGTCAGCTGTGACCAGCAGTGCTGCAGAATTTGAAGAGGCACGAATGGAGGGCGAAAGAGAGAAATGTGCCAAGAGGAAGGCACGTCAAGCCAACCCCAACCAGGACCGCCTTCCACCTGGAAACCAATGCCCTCACTGCGGAAGAAGATGCAGAGCAAGAATAGGGCTCCACAGCTCCACAAGAACACTGGAAGACAATCATCCTAGGAAAACAAGGGATCGCCTAAGTAAGTAAGTAAGACGTTTCGGAGACAAGTAAAAACGTGGCTATTCAAGCAAGCATTTAAAAATACAGAGTAGCTAATATAGGAAATCGAATGACCTGACTACGGAATTGGACAATGCTTGAGAATAATGAGACGCTGATGATGTTGCTTTTATTGCTTTTGTGATGTCTTATACTGTTTAATGTTTTAATCTATTATGTTTTGTGTATACTGATTTGTTGGAAACCGCCTTGAGTCGCCAATTGGCTGAGAAAGGCGGTATACAAATATAGTAAATAGTAAATAAATAAATGAAACCTGGAATATACTGGCTTTTCAAACTCTCTCTCTGTGTATGCACATGCATGTATCTTCAAGTCACCATGTGGTGACCCCAGGAATGTCATAGGGTTTTCATAGACAAGGAATACTCAGAAATATTCCTTCTATATTGGTTTTAAGCACATCAACCAACTCTCTACAAAAATAAAAATGTAATGTTCATTTGTGGGATTAACATAACTCAAAAACCACTGGATGAATTGACATCAAATTTGGCCACAAGACACAAAGAGTGATCATCATACACAAAAATTGATTTTGGCATTCGGAAGTTGTAGTTGCTGGGGTTATAGTTAACCTACAATCAAAGAACATTCTGAACTCCACCAACGATGGAACTGAACCAAACGTGGCACACAGGACTCCCATGATCAACAGAAAACACTAGAAGGGTTTGGTGGGCATTGACCTTGAGCTTGGGAGTTGCAGTTCACTTACATCCAGAGAGCACCGTGGACTCAAACAATGATGGATCTGGACCAAACTTGGCACAAATATTCCATATGCCCAAATATGAACACAGATGGAATATGGGGAAAATAGGTATTCACATTTGGGAGTTGTAGTTACTGGGATTTATGGTTCAGCTACAATCAAAGAACACTCTGAACCCTACCAACGACAGAAGTGGGGCAAACTTCCCACACAGAACCCCCATGACCAACAGAAAATACTTAAGGCCATGACCAACTCCCTTCACCAGGGCAARAAAATATAATCAAAGCCCTCCTGACAAAGAGCTATCCAGTGATAGATAGATAGATAGATAGATAGATAGATAGATAGATAGAGAGAGATAGATAGATAGATAGATAGATAGATAGATAGATAGATAGATGATAGATAGATATAGATATGATTCACACAGAGAGATACCAAAGGACTGCCAGAAAAAAGATGCATCAGGCCAGCTCTCTGTTATTCCAAAAAGCAGGGACACAATTAATGGYCAGTAAATGCCAAGAAACAAGTTTTGGCTAAACATTAGGAGACATTTTCCCAAAGTAATTAACAATGGGAAATTCTGGGCTTTTCTTGAGTGGAGTGCTTGAGAAGCAGCCCATTTCTCAGGCATACTGAATGTTGTAGTAGAGTCTGTTGGCAACTCTGCAACTGGTAGTACGAGTGTCAGAGGAGGGAAAAGAGGTATTCAGGAACTAGATGAGGAACAGCAGAGGAAGAGGATCTGGGAGATACTTATGTCACCCACTGATGAAGAATCCTTCGAGGGGTTTTCAGAGAGTGAAATGAGTGAGGAGGAGGAAGGAGATACAGTAGATGTGAATAGGGGAACTAAGAGGATTACTCGAGAGCAGAAGTCAGACGAAGAGCGTCAAAGAAAGAAGATCCGGAAGATACTTAACAGTCTCAGAGGCAGGAAGGCCTGCCTGCAGGCCTCTTTGCAGTTATTGGCCCAGAGAGCAGCTTTTGAGCCCGCCCCTTCTCCCAGGGAAAGACCTCCATTTTAGAGGCCTCCTTGCCCTTTCAGTTGGGAAGAAGAATTCAGATGTGCTAGAGGCCAGCAGAAAAGCCCTGAGAAACCATTGCAAGTACTAAACTAAGTAAATTGGGATAATTTGAGATAGATGTTGATAATTAAATTAAGATAGAAATAGATAGATAAAGTACTAAATAAATTAGGCCATAGATAGAAAGATAAACTAAGTAAATTGGAATAATTTGAGATAGATATTGATAATTAAATTAAGATAGAGATAGATAGATAAAGTACTAAATAAATTAGGCCATAGATAGAAAGATAAACTAAGTAAATTGGGAAATATAGATCAATTAGGCCATAGATAGATAGAAATACAAATATATGGAATAATTGAGTCATAGATAGATAGTTTAATAGAGAATAATTGAGTTATAGATAGAGAAGCTTGTTGAGTTTATAGATATATAAACCCATTTTCCTAGTTCAAACAGACCTCACTACCTCTGAGGATGCTTGCCATAGATGCAGGCGAAACGTCAGGAGAGAATACCTCTAGAACATGGCCATATAGCCTGAAAAAAACTACAACAACCCAGTGATTCCGGCCATGAAAGCCTTCGACAATACTTCCCATTCTGCTTATGACTATTAAACAATATTATTACATTTTGTAGTTGAAATAGTTCTTGAATTACCCATATTTGGTCTGCAACTTAGGAGAAAAATTTATAAAAGGAGGAACAATTCAAATGTAATTGC